GAAAAAAATGGGAGATAAATGGCGGGTTGGAAGTAACAAGCCGACATTTTTTCAATAATAATTTTCTAACAGTGCAGTGCACTTCCTATCTTTCATTTTAATTCCAAGTGATCCGACTCCATGCTTATCACGTTCCCGGAGCCAGCGTGAAGGGAAAATAAAGTTGCTGCATAAAAGCTAACCACGGAAATTCGATCGACGCGGTGTAAATAGAGAGAACCCTCGCTGTTTAAAGAGAATAAGGTGAAGAATGAAAAATGATGAAAAAAAAAAGCGTGAAATGAAGGAAGGGAAGGCACGAGCTATCGCGCACGACGGGCAATGCTATTGGATCGATGGGAACTTGCGGTGTGAAGGCATGTGTTATTTCCCTCGAGGCCGTTGGAGGACGTGTCGTGTTGTGCATCTACGATTCGGTGGCGAATTATACCAATAGTATTTTTTTTTTCTAACGATAATACACGGCATAGTACTGTACGAGAAATATTGTTGAAAGGTAATAATTAGCGCCCTTCGGTGCTCCAAATGCCAGATATCAATGTCCATTATTGCACTCATAGAATTATTCGCGTCTTCCACACGAAATTTCCTAAGTAACCATTAAAAAAATCTATTTGTTAAGAAAAATTGAGCCGTTCGATCATTGCAAATTATTTCATTTAAAAACTCCATGTGCGGATGATTTTTCTCTATTGACACGAAATTTCCGATATTTTCCCCAGAGTATTCTCCGGCTTTAAATACACAGTAGTTGTTCGGAATGAGGGATCAAGTGAATGATCGCTTCGGCAAGAGGTTGACATTCGTGTGTAAATACAAATTCACACACTCTTAAATTGTCATTATTTTCGGTACTCCTTAATGGTCGCTCTGTCTCACTCTATTTACATATGTATATGAACGCTCAAGGTGAGTTCATAGTCCCGTTGAACGGATGTGCGATAACGTCTCCGAGTTTTTCGTTTTCTCTCCTCGGTATGTTTCTGGCGACTCCCTTCGACGACTTATCGCCTGGGGATTTCATTAACCCAACCGAGGACATGTCCACCACCAGGAGATAATACGGAATACCAATTTCAACAATTTTTATCCCCTATTTTTCACTCATTTTTTCAACATGGAAAAATCTTTATTTTTATTCATTGATTGCATTTAATTTTTTTCTTATCGCTAATTTTTATTACTCAAGCCTGTGGAATTAATTGAACAAATAAAATGGAGGATCGATTGGTGGGGCAATATCGACTTTAACTCAATACTACCAATCACATATTTTTCATTGATTATCGATTGATAAATAACAATTGTCGACCTCGGCATTCGCGGCTCGTGCTCGTTTCGCACCTGCGATTTCACGTTTTTCTTCTTTAAATTGTAAACAAGAATTTCACCTTGATGTCTCGACACTCGGAGTCAGCCTTGTCCACAGAAAATCATTTCTTTTTTTGTTATTTTTTTCAACGCACCGCGGAATTGGGCCAGGGGGAGTTGATTGCGAGACCACCGGGCTTGACTTATTTCATGATGCGAATTAAGGTCATTTTTTTTTTCCACTCTTGAATATTTTTTCGCTGGGGAAACTTGAGATTTAAAAAAAATTTCGCTATTGCCGTAGGTCCGAGTAAGTTGCTAGAAAATAACTTCTAAAAATGTTTAAAAGAGAATAATTGAAAAATTAAGATGAAAGAAATAAAAAAAAAATGCTAAATTCAAGTTGAAGTGAAGGAAAAAGATGCCGAAATTCCCCTGCACCCAGAAGCGATGGTCAAACAAAAAAAAACGAACTCCATCCCCGAATAATGGTCCTGCCACACGTCAAAAACGTGGCGGGCAGCATCTCAGTCACGTTCTGCTCCTGAAAAAAAAAAAGGCCCCAATAATAAGTCGACCAAACGAGGCTCATAATGTGCCATAGGCTGTAGAAAGGCATCTATTTACCTCCACTCCTAGAAATTCCCCATGTCGCCCGGAATGAGGGGTTGTCCGACACGGGGGTTAAGGCCACACGTTAAAACGAGAAAAATCCGTGAAAAGAGACGAAGAAAGGAGGAACGAGAAAAATAAAAAGGAAAGAAAAAATTGAGTGAGAGAGGATGTATCACGGGAAGATTCGAGTACGAGGGTTCCCACGAGACGATGCCACCTGTGCCACGACGACAGGCCCCCCTAAACCAACCCCTAAAAGGTGTATGTGTGCCAGGCTTTTCAACATGAAGAAAGACACGTGAAAGAAACGTGGATGTCTCTTGACGGGATATACCAGGCTGTTTTCAGGGTGTCAGGGGATCTCTTGGCAATGGGGGAAATTGTTTTTGGGGGTAACTAGATTCTCCAGATAACACCGACACACTTCTTGGTTTTTTTTTTCCATTGCTCTTCCCTTGAAAGATCATTTTCAGGATTAAAAAAAAAAATAAAAAAAAGACTTCTCATTTTTTTGAAACTCACTCGCATTTCAGAAGTGAGTCATCAAGAAATTTCACGTTTTTACGATTAACATTTCAAGTGTAATTCTCCAAAATATTTGGGAAAATTGTTTTGAGAAATGAATTCTGAGGAATACTGACGCAGAGTCAAGGAAGGCGAGAAAATCCCTCGGATGTTTCATAAACATCGGGAGTATCCCTCGGTTGTTTCTCGAGTGAGCGTTAATTGGATGCTCTCTTCACTCCACTTGCCTCTGACACTCACTGGGTCATTCATCTCGGCGGGTTGATGGCTCTTAAGAGCTGACTGTCACGTCTCAAATCGCCTCAGGGAAAGTTAAAAAATTGATTTAGAAATTGTCCGGGACTCCGACCACTATCAAGTCGGTAAAAGATAAGGAATATCTAATTATCAACCGAATCTTCGATTATTCCCTGAATAAATCGTCCATTATCACCCATTTAATCATCCAGTAAACAAATCAAATGCCAGACTAGATGATAAGTCTAAGAAGAGCTCTTAGAATCGAAGGTTCGATAAAAAATCTTGAATCAGATAATGAAAATGATGGAGTATCGAATATCCGCTACCGAATAATCTCCCATCGATCTATCTTGACGTCGATCAACCCCATACATTACATTATTACTTATTAAATCCCAAGGTAAGGCATCTACGTGTAATAATCGCTGAGTCGATCGTAATCCAGCCGTCAAGCCTAGGATTATCATTCATCCGCACACGCTCCTGTAATGGCGGAAGCCTGGCTCGTTTTCGTATCAGTCGTTTAATTCAGAGTGTACTTTCACCGGGGGAGGGGAAATAAGAACGAAAAAGGATTGAGCCGTTGGCGTTGCGAGACCATGGCAATTGCATTTGCGCAATCACAGGGAACTCGTGCACCCGCGATTCCACGATTAATCACACGTTGATTTCAGTTGTGGCACGAGATCTCTTCGGGTGACTAGCAATATCAAAAAATCCACTCCACCAAATAAAGTAAGTGATAATGAATATTCAACTGGTCCCCCCCGGAATGCCGAGTTATGAATTCATAAGGACATGACAAAACGGGTTGACCCTGTCTCCCAGTGATGATCACCCAGGAGGTCATGCAGCTCCCTAGAATATGGCCCGTGCTCCCGACAATAGTCTCTCATTATGTGCACAGGGCACTGGCAATGGGTCGCATAAGGTTACATTACCCCCCCTTGGTCTTTGCATCTGTACGAATGCACACCGAGCCACTTTAGGTGCGTGCAACATAAAGAGAGGACTCACGCTTCGCCGCACAATGCTCTCTGTATCTTCTTTTTTCCTCAATTCTCCCTCCCCTGGGTGTTGTATTCATGGGGGCCCTCCTGTGTTGACGGGGTGGAACGGAGCCTGAGAATATTCCCACGTTCCGTAGCACGAGCCAACGAGTACACCAAAGGAATTCTCTTCCCTTTTTTTTTCTCTCTCTCTCTCCTCCGAAAAAAAAAAGAAAAAAATGAAGAAGCCAGGCGTCTGAGAAAACGCAACAGGGGGAAACGAGGATTAAAGGAAGTCTATGGGAGCCACACGCTAAATTAACATCCCACGATTATGGTTTTGTCCCGTTAAATCATAAAATCACAATCCGAGAAGAACAACTTGCCAATTCAAACATTTATCCTGATGATTTAATGAGGAGAATTAGGGATGAGGAATGAGAGGAATGAACGAATAAAACACATCGAAGAGAGCGACCTATAAGCTTATACTACCACTGGCTACTACCACTAGCGCAATAAAAATCATGAAGCAGATGACACCTGAAAGGCAAAACAATTACCCAATGTAAAGGTGGTAGTCATAACCGCACGAGATAGCAATTACGTTGATCTCGTCGTGTTGCACGTGACCGGTATTGCTGGTGATAGAGTACAGAGGAGGTTGATAGCCACATCACCAGCTAAGAGGAATGGATGTTGGTGAAGCCAAGTGTAAGCGAGATGAAGGAGGTAAATGAGGAGGATGAGGAGGATGAGGAGGATGAAAGAGTGGTGGAATCCTCGTGCTGGTCGCGCGTCGTGGCGTGTGCTAGAGGATCTCCTCACATAGCCCTCCTCTCCATGAGCTCTCATGATACCAATGAGTGAGATACTCACTGGCTAAAGGAAGATAGTCTGATGAGAAGTATGGAGGAAGGGGATATGCAGGTGTGTCTGGGAGCACTCTGGTTATTCCCCCACTCAGAAACAACTACAACAAACCTGGTGTGCGCACACAGCAGGCCTGAGCGATCTGTGGGAACGTTTCGTCCTCAGTGCTTCCCACGATACGCTCCTCCGGCTGGTAGCCTTTACTTGTGGTCTACCCATAATACCATCTGTCTCCCTCATACCCATTCAACCACTGGGATATCCCGTACCCCAACTCCAGCATGACAGGGGGAGGAGAAGGGAGAAAGAGAGAGAGAGGTAGGCGGAGGGGGGAACGATGCTGTTTAACTTGAAAATACATTCTCAAATGGGTGGGGAGAGGTGAAACGACAACTGGGGGTATAAATGCTGGTATAACTTCCCCACCAGAGTTACTAAACAGCTCACATCTACTCGGCACTCCGAGAACGAACCTTCAGAGCTCACAGTACACATCATTCTCAAATATCAATATCATCAGAAGCATTGTGACCTTGTGATTAATCAGTGCAAAGTGATAATTCGTTTTTGTTGTGGCCCCTTCATTTGATTTGACTTGATTATTTCACATAATGGCACCACACACAACAAGCTATGCCGTTGCTGGAGGGATGGAGTACGAGGAGCCAGTCTCCAGGACTTACCAGTATCGCAAAGTGATGAAGCCAATGCTGGAGAGAAAGAGACGAGCGAGAATCAATCGTTGTCTTGATGAACTCAAGGATCTAATGGTGACAGCACTTCAGGCTGAGGGTGAGAATGTTGCTAAATTGGAGAAGGCTGATATATTGGAGTTGACGGTGCGTCATCTTCATACACTGAGGGCTGCTAGGAGGCTCACTTTGACACCTGAAAATAGCTATGCTGATAAATTCAGGGAGGGCTTCACTCAGTGTGCGCAAGAGGTATCCACGTTCCTTCAGACAACTCCCGCTGCTGCTGCTGTTCATCCCGCTGCTGGTGCACAACTCATTCGACATCTTGGAGGTTGTTTACGTCGGCTCGAGGGCTCCACTACTGCCAATCAGGCCAAGACACCTGTCAATATTCCACAAGGAGTCTATACACCACCCCAGAGTCCTGTCAGTGTCAGTTCGTCGGAGGAGTCTGTGGAGAGCTCCGTATGGCGTCCCTGGTGAAATTTTTTTCACCATCCAGAGGGCCAACGCAATCCGTCGGATACAATTTTGTGACGAATTTATATTGTAGTTAGAGATTAGAAATTATACGACGAATCAGTTTGTCTTCCAGTTCAGAATTATTGGATTAGATTGTTCAATCAGAATTTTTTTTCTTCTTATCTTTTTTTATGGGTAGAATTTGATTACTCTAGGGTGATGAAGCTTTAAGTAATGTCTGTGATAGGGATTTTGTTGTCGTACCTGAGGTCAATATTTTCTCATTGATGATTAATTATATTGAATCAATTTTGTTATGTTTAAGATCTTTAGATATAGTTGAAACACTTGTTGATACGAGAGATTAATAAGATTGAGAGGAGAGTTGATGAATGCACTATTGATATTTGAATAAACAAATCACTTTTTCAATTTTAATTACTGCCTGTGTAAAATTATTTATATTTAGTACTTCCTTTCCCCCATAACCACTCCTAGATAGATAGTAAATTATGAAATTTCTTTTACTGCATTTCCATCTGGTGCAATTTAATGCGGAATATCAATGCTGAAAAAAAAAAAATAGATCGGCCTACACCGTAACATCCAGAAGAATTATTTTCACTTGCCATAGTTTATGGATCGACATTGAGTATCTTACACTTGTTCACATTAACACTTGAATTGATACCGACAATCAAAAGAGCTAAATGACGCAATTCTGGTGGATCGTTGCCTCAAAGAAGCATAACGATGAATCAGAGATATCGAATTAACAAAACCAGTTGCTTGAAAAGAATTCCTAGATGTCTTCCCTTTTCTGTTCCAGATATCAATCACGTAATGTCGAGATCTGTCCATCGCCGCGGCTAGACAATCCCTCACTCCACTTCCAGCAGAGAAAAACCCTCTAATTTCCATATCAAAGCACCCGCAAAGGGGAAATCTGGACAACTGACTGTCACGTAAGACCACCTGTCTAATCCCCAACAAAAGCATCAGGCAAGTATGGACATCATCACCTACAATCACCACGAGTTGTCTCACCCGATTGCCAGCGACGAGACTGAGGACGATCTCGATCAGGATTACGAGGACGAGCAGGAGGAACTGCCATTTCTCAACGATTCAAATCGAATAATAACGGATTGTGAATCAAACGAGGAGAACACCTGTGCCCTGCCACTCCGTAGAAGCCTCTTTCCCAATGTGCCACCCTATATTATTTTTAAATCATTTGACTCGACCGCTCATAACCTGCCAATCACCATAACAAAGCACCTGAAATGGAAGCTCAGTACAATTACCCCACTGTTGGTGCGAAGAACAGTCGTCAACTCGGGCTTTCGCCTGGTGAAAAAATCCCAGGAGTGGATTGGAACCTGGGGCAAACACATGAAATCCAATTGCTTCAAATCCCTGAGGGACACCCAGAAGGTCAATCACTTTCCAGGTACCTTTCACATAGGCCGAAAGGACAGATTGTGGAGGAACTTGAGCAGACTCATGTCCAAACATGGTAGAAAGGAATTTGGTTTTGTTCCACGTACTTATGTCCTCCCCCAGGACCTTCGCAGCTTTCGCCAAGTTTGGGAGAAGACTGGCGGTAAAGAGAAGTGGATAATCAAGCCTCCAGCGTCAGCCAGAGGGACGGGAATCAGGGTTGTTCATCGATGGAGTCAAATCCCCAAGAAACGGCCAATCATCGTCCAGCAGTACCTGTCCAAGCCTTTGCTAATCGGTGGCGCTAAATTTGACCTTCGTCTATACGTTCTCGTTACAAGCTTCAATCCCCTTCGGGTCTATCTTTATCCTGATGGTCTCGTTCGATTCGCCTCTGTCAAGTACAACGACGACATCAATTACCTCAGCGATCGCCTCATGCATCTGACTAATTACAGTATTAACAAGACATCATCGAGCTACACTAGCAACGAGTGCGCTGACTCGTGTATTGGCCACAAATGGACCATCAAGACTTTTATGAGTTATTTGGAGAAGGAGGGAGTCAACACCAAGAAACTCTGGAACTCTGTGAAGGACATCATTGTGAAAACTATGATTGCTGGAGAGCCACCAATTAACACCCTCACTAGAACCAATATAACCACAAGGTACAGCTGCTTTGAGCTGTTTGGTGTTGACATTCTCCTTGACGAAAATCTCAAACCCTGGCTACTGGAGGTCAATATCTCGCCCTCACTCCAGTCATCATCGGCCCTCGATATTGCCGTCAAGGGACCTCTTGTTAAGAATCTATTCAACATGGTGGGATATCAGCTACCTGCCAATCTACCCCACAAAGAAGCAGCTACACTAGCCAAAACTTATGACTTTGAATGTGTCTGTCAGGACGTTAGGCTTGACAAAATGTCATTGAGCAATCAGGAGAAGCAGAAGCAGGCTCTCTACGTTAATCTAGATCGAGAGGACTACGTTGAGGATATTTTGGAGGATCTGACACCCGACGACGTGAGACACCTCATTGCCCACGAGGATGAGATCTCCCAGGCTGACAGGTTCGAAAGGGTTTTTCCCACTAGCACTAGCTCCTGGTACCTCGACTTTTTCGATGTGCCCCGGTATTACAATCTCCTTCTCGATGCATGGGAAGATAAGTACGGTGACTGCAGGGAGCAAGGCATCCAAGTACTGAGAAAACTCTGCGAGCAGAAGTTTCATCTTGAAAATACTGCCTAGATTTACATTAAAAATTCATTTTTTAAGATTTTTCCAAGACCTAAATCGGGGGCTGAATTGTGTTCAAATTTTTAGCAAGTCAAAATGATTCAAACGGATGATTTTTTTTTTAGACGAGAGTTTCTATTTATCCCGCTGAGAGTGCCTTCTAGAATTAATCGAATTTCATATTGTACGCAGCATTGATTAATAAATGAATTTTTCACTCAATGATCAAATACTTTTTCGAACGATGGATTGGTATATTTTTTTTTTTTTTTGGAGGAGGGGAGTCTCATCAAGGCTAGATGAAAAATTGAATATTCAAATAGTGGGACATGGCATATTAAAGTGATTTATACGTGAGCTCTGATGATTGAGGAGTAATGACCGAGGGCTGAAATGATTAATAAAATTTGACGATCGTAAAGAGAGAGAGAATGTTATGACAATTTAATGTCTCTATTGTGTCATCCCTGGGGAGTTGGCGAGACGGCGCGTCGGGCAATTCACTGTCTCATCCCACAAGCGACAAAAGGAGCTCAGAGATTTCTTGGGGCTTCCGTTCGGTTAAAATTCAATCATGGGAAGGAAGTGAGCATGAGGGTCCAAAAAGCAATGAGTGGAGCAATGATTTTTAATGATTGGTATATTAATATATACGAAATAAATAGGATTGGGGTTAAACGCTTGAAGACAATGGGACACTCGTCGGGACTGAATTCAATGAATTGATATCGTTATTGTAACAACATAATAGACATATTTTCTTATTGAGATTGCAGTCTCGTACGCGTTTGGGTGACGTACGTGCCGATTCCCCACGACGTCTTTCTCAATCTATTTCATTCATGAATTGTCCTGCTCATGGCGAGATTTGAATCGTGAATAAAAAAAAAATAAACGGAGCGGATATAAATCGTAGAACTTTAGGATGGACAAACCGAAAGTGCAATGCTGCGCAAAAGTGCAAAAACAGGAGTGAAATAGATAATTGTCACAGTGGAAAAGAGGGTATATTTTTAACGGGGCAATCTGCAATGAAATTAAAGTTTATTTTTTGAAAATTGTTGGATTTTTATGGCTTATAGAAGCGTGGGGGCGTGCACACGAGTGGCGAGGTAACGACTTAATAAACCGTTGGCGCGGAAGCCAGATTGTCCCGGGTGCGATAAAGAGAAGGCACCACTGAAAAAAAACAAGAAAAAAAAAAGGGAGTGGGTGGGGGCGGATGCTGCGGGCAAAAGAGTTTTGCTCACCGCTCCTATCCCGTGGTCAGGTGCGTCGCGTGCCCACTCTTGTACGCGTGTTGTTTTTCTTTTGGGAAGGCCCAAGCGTGCCCGTTCCCACGCTTCCGAGTATACACTCAAAAATACTCATGCCCAACTTCGACCAATCGTCATTCGCCGTGTCACTCAAGTGCGCTCCATGAAATATGGATTTTTTTCCCCGAAAGTTGGCAAATCAATGTGCGAAAAAAAATTGTGGAGCAAAGTGGTACGGGGCTATTTTTTTCACTGCCAATGAAATTTATTGATATTCATTTGAAAAACAGGGAAAAAATAGGGAATAATTGGTTCTATAAATTCCCAAATCTTGTGGAAAAATACTGCTGTGATGTAAGAAGTCGTATAAATTGATATCAAAGGGAAAACATTATCGTGAAAAACAACATGATGAAAAATGTCACACCATGGCATCATGGTGATACCAAAAATAGAAGAGTTACCAAATGAGATAATTAATATATTAATCACTTGAATGTTTTTCTCGAGTTATCGACACGAATTTTAAGTTAACACCTGTTTCTCATGGTCATCACACGTCTCAAAACTAACATCATACAGAGAAAAATACAAAAATTTTCATTTTCCAGTACTTGATAAATTATATTTTTCCTTGGTATGTTGAATACACAATGATATTCTCAGAGATCTAATAGGTAGCCAATAAAAATGAATAATTGTTGAGTCAATGACTTTTGATGTTGGCCGGAATAATTATCAATGAATTTTTCAATGAAGAATTAATTTCATGAATGAATGCGGATTACGTTTGGCCATTGGAGTGACGAATCGTAGTAAAGACGGGTAAAGAGAGAAGATGTAACTGGCCATTGGTAAAAGTTAGAATGAATGTGCAAGGGAACGCGCTAGCCACCTGACGCACTCCGGCACACATCGTGGGAACTCGAAAAAAAAAGGCGGAGATACGAGAGAAAAAAGGAACTGCCGAGGGGGAACTTTAGGAATTCGACTCTTTTATGAACGACCGGGGGAACTCGACACAGTGTCGAAGGGGTACACGTGCATCGCGCATGCCTGTACACACGATATGAGACCCTCATTGGCAATGAAGGTTTAATGCCACTGGACCCTCATTGGCGGATGCATTCGAGGGATTAGGGGTGAGAGGAAGACGCCGTTTTATTCCAAATTATCTGCACTTATCAGACCAATGTGGATTTTTACCCGATCGTTTCCACAAACCAGCGGATATATCTCTTGTTTTTTTTGTTTTTCTCATCCAACAATTTGTGCTAAATTTTTTACAACGTCGGTAATTATTTTTTTTTCCATCTGCAAATATGTTTCTGGGTGGAATTAAAAAAAAAATGTATGGGATTTAATAATAGGGAATTCAATGCAGAGAGAAAAATGTCCAACTTTAAAATCAAGAAACGTTTTTTCTGTGTGAACATTGTAAAAGATACTTGAACATCTTTAATAGTGAGTTACGTATTGACATGCATCAGCATATGGTATCAGCCTATGGGAACCCGATGCGTGACAATATTTGACATTGTTAAACACGAATAAATAAACCTCGTCACGGGTGTTAAACAATAAGGTAGACATAATATGCGTGATAGCATGTACGTGTCTGGTGGGATTGGTTTAGGCGACTTATCGTTTTGTCATTCCGGTGGACACTACCGGAACCGGCCTCGACAAGGTCCCGTAATTCCGTAATCGTGAATGGGGTACGTGACATGTCAATTATTCTAAAAGAAAAAAATCATCCCCTATGCCTCTCATCGACCATTTCATCATGTCAAATTTCATGAGCTATAGAAAAAAAAATCCTGAAAGATGAACGAGTAATTGTAATAAAGTTTCGAGTGCGCCCTATCTAGATGAAATAAGCGTGCTCTACGCGTGTCGCAGTGGGACATTTAAAAGTGCCTCTCCCTCATGTTAATGGTTTTTCTCACGGTAAAAACGTCAGGTGCGCGAGGACCTACGCCTTCAGGAAGTTAAAACGGTTCCTTACAAGGATTCGCAACTTGTGTTATAGACTCATCTTTCTTCCCACGCTCCGAGACCGTTTCTAACGGACAAATTCGAGTGTTTCTTGTTTAGTAAAGTGGAAGAAGTGAGGGACGATAAAAAAAAAAGGAGGGAGAGAATCTCGGGCAAAAAATGGCCAATGTGGTTTTGACATATGCGTTCAACTCCAATTTTTCCTCCTCCCCCATTCAATCCCTTTCATCTGCCACTGATTATTTCACTCCATTTGTTTATGCTCCATCATGTTATATTTTAATGACTGTCGCCCGATAATGGGATGTGACGGACATTAACCAATATTTTTTTCAGGTAAGTTGAGTTTAATTAGGACATCTCGACGGTTGTAATAATTCATTGTAATCAATCTGAGGGTGCACGCTTGCCCATCGGCCATATCAAATCTTAAGTCTCAATATCGCGGAATACTCTCGAGTATATAATTTGGTAATTATGGAAAATAAAGGAGTGGTGATATAAAATTGGGTGGGACGGTGGTCCATCGAATTTCACTCGGTGTTCACCTCAGACGGAAGGTGTACTGTGTGTACACGGGTACGGGTACGGGTGCCGGATGAATGCCCCGTGGGAACAGAACGCCCGCTAGTGCAAACGATCCGCCAAGCGTTACAGGAAACCCCTCCAAATCACTCCCACCACCTTCCCTTTTTAAATCCCTTATCGTTTTCATGGTACCGTGATTTTTTGGCGCCAGCCGGCTCTTTACAATCCATTCGAGATCATATATTTTGTTGGCCAATCTCAGCATAAATTAATTCATTACCAGAACTCACTACCTTGTTGCTAATAAATCCATACTTCATACTATTCAGTCCAATCGGAAAATTAAAAAAAATTCAATGGCTGATAAATACTCGTGTCGGGACGATTTATCGGACTTGAATAAACGACAACTAACGCAAACCTTCCGTACACCACTCTCCATTCACAAAATCCAAATAATTACGTAACAGCCATGTGGTGCTGTTGCGTCCCATTCAATCGTCGATTTCCTATAATTTAATATTCATGAATGGAGACGCATATCCGGCGCGTCAATGGCATTCTATCACGTGCACTCAACATTTTACATGAATTTTCTGTAATTACGTTCGGGTAACGAGATGAGTGGCCAAGTTTTTTTTACTCTTCGGCTTCTCGGAACATTGAAAAATGTTGAAATTGAGTCATTACGCGGAGAGAAAAATTTTCCGAATTTCGGAGAAATTAAAAACATTGTCTGATCTTGAAATTGAAAATATCATGAAAAATGTGCAAATTCTATGGATATTTTATAATACTATGAATGTAAAATGATGTTTTTTTTTTTAATAAAATTTGGAATACTTGAAGAAGTAGTAAATACTGAAGTGACTTCTTGGACGTGTGCTTGTCGCGTGTGGGGCTCGCGACTGCGCCCCTCTCACTGACACGCTCATCTCACGTAGTAAACACACAGTTGTATAATGCCTGTATGTGTTATACACTGGGCCCTATTGGGCCCCGTGCCGGCTGAAGGGCCCCGCGTGTGGGACGCGATGCCTCGGCCCGTTCTCACGGTAGCCTCGGAGGCCATTCGGAGGTAGCAAAAGGGGCACTCTCTCCCCCTCTACACCTTTGCTTCCTCCATTTGTGCGTTTCAACGCACAAACATGTATATAACCTTCTGTATTCACTCACCCATGCAATGAGGGGAAGAGGGAAAGCGTCAGGCCCTTGGTCGGCAGCACGCGTACACTCAGGCAAAACCTTACTGAATTTTTCCAAATTTTTTCCAGACTTGAAATGAAATTAATAAATTTTTATTGATTATTAATTTATTTGTATATTGAGATGGCCTCTCATTGAATGCATCATTCATGTGACAGATGCCCGACTCTTTTTATTCCATCTCCATTGACATTATTTGTACACACAGGCGGATATAAAAATTTATAAACCGGACGTACGACGTTTACGATATGAGATATGAGTCGTAAACATTCGCACGCTCCTCTCGTATCGCGGCGTAATTGAAGGCGTTGAACGATAAGATTGAGGGGGAGGGAATCATATGGCGGGTTGTGTTCTATGTGCTGGCATCGGCCTTTTTGCCACCCCTCCCCTATCCTCTCCTCTCCCAGCCATCGGGCTCACGTGTCAATTGATAACGCAAAGACCAGTTGATATGCGGTCGAGTGCGGTGACATCACTAATTATTATTTTTCTTCCTGGTAGTCTACGCGCGTGGTAAGAGTGACAAACCACTGTTACATATGGTTAACTTGAAACTTGTGGGAAATGTCTTGAAAAAGTCATTATTTTCCAACATTATTACCCATTCCAATGACAAATTATTCATTAAGTAGTAAGAATAAATAGCCAATTGTCATTTCACTCTAGCACGTCAATTATATCGATAATTAATTAATCTAGTGCTCATTGGAGATGATTTGTCGGTGGGAATGGGTGAAACCCAGGGTAGATGTTGGATCTTGGATCTTGGATCTTGGATCTTGGCCTCGAATCGAGAATCGAATTCAACCCGAATGAAATTCAGTTATTGTATTGTTTGGATTATGCCGTGTTGTTAATTATAGGGATTCTAAATTTCATAATGAAAAAGAGAGCGTTTTGAAATGGAATAGCCTGGGGAGTTTGCGACGGGTTCCGAGGGGAGGGTTCCGATGGAATGGCTGACGGCGCATCCAGTCAGTTGGTGTAGAGACTCCATGGAGAGAGTACTTGTCCTAATTCACCCTCAACCATCAAGACCACCTCATTCTCTATTTCTCTCACTCTCAATTCATTGAATTTCAATACTCATCCTCATCTCAATACTCATCTCTCCTAACCAGTGAATAAGTGATAAATTTTTATAAATTTTTTAAAATTATTGACAAAACTCAACGTGCAATGATGTCGTACGATTATCCACATCCAGTTTCCAGGACTTATCAATACAAAAAAGTGAGTTATTAAAAATAATAATAACAAGAAGTTCATTGTTTTCTCAAATAAAAAATTCATGTACAACAATCAACGAATCAATTATCATAAATTTCAATTGACTTGTTTGTTGATTATCGATCTGGAATTAATTTAATTGGATTAATGAAACGACTTTTTATTGTCAATTAGATAACAAAACCGGCACTTGAGAGAAAGAGACGGGCTCGGATGAACAAATCAGTTGAGCAACTTAAAAATCTCATGATTGATGCTTTAGAGGTGTGTATTGATTGATAATTTCCATTTAGTTAAATGGTGGATTAATGAGTCCTCAATGCGAAATAGAGATGACATGATGGATTGGTTTTTACTGTGAATTATTCATCATTTTGATGGACAGACCGAAGCCGAAAACATAAGTAAACTGGAAAAAGCCGACATTCTGGAGTTGACAGTCCGTCACATTCAGCGGCTCCACTCCCAATCATCGGGATTATCGCCGGTGGTATCTCCAAATGAGGACCCGACAGCCGAAAGCCGATGGCAATCGGGATTTGGTCACTGTGCCGCCGAAGCCTGCAAATACCTTGCGGCATTACCCGGAGAATCCGGTCAAAAATTGGCAAAACACTTGGCGTCGGGTCTCGAGTCCACCCATAAATTGAACATTCAGGTACGCTCTTAATTACGCTACTCATTCCTCTAATTAAGTCATCCGCTTTTAAACGAATTAATTTTTAGATTATGCCAAAAGACGATTTAATGTCTCCAAATTGTGGCGCCTCTCCTCACCTGGGAGTCACCCCAAATGGGCCCCCCTCAGTAGACATTCCGTGCCCGTCGTTGGTGCCACCTCAACCTCTCGTAAATACCCCGGAATCCCCTTGTGAATCCGCCCCTTCGCCCACACTTGAAGGCAGTGGAACAAAACCACCGACACCTATTGACGACGACGAGGAGATTGATGTCGAGGGGGTTGATAATGACCCCATGTGGAGACCCTGGTGATTAAAATTACTAATTGTTAAGAGGAAATGACATTATGAACTAGTTTGTATTCCATTCTGAGAGGACTTTTATCACGTTATTGATTCAGTTCAAGTTATTCATATACATTTTTATGGGCCACGGCTCGCGGAAAATTTCCGCAGTCAGTTTTCCCTCTTTGATGCAGTGATCAATCGATTCCTGAATATTTTAATCGTAAGGCATTCACTTTGGTATGTGGCTTTAATTACGTAAAACAGGTCCAGGGATTTTCTCAGCCCGCAGTGATAGATGAATAATTGTGACTTGTAAATGCTAACTGTTTTTATATTTCAAATGTGTTTATGCTACCCGCGTAATTTTAAGTCTCATTGCGTACGTTCTCTTTTTTTTATTGTTAATAAGGAGCACCAATGTAATTAATAACATTATTATTCCTACTGCCAACAAACTATTATGGGTATTTTTATATTATATGCCAACCGCTGCGATATATCTGTGATGATGATGATGATGATGATGATGATGATGTGACTACATGTTTAATCATGGCAACAAATGAATTTAATTAAATAATTTTTATATGCAATTATGTCTTCTTTACCTCGCCTATTATTCCTTATCCTTTTCTCTTTTATATTTTCGAATTATCACAATCATCCCTCGATGAAAATTTTCAATTAAAAAAATTTCAATTAAAAAATTTTCAATTCGATTATGGAAAAACGTAGTTTTTATTATTAATACGCGGACCAAATGTTCAAGAATAAAAAAATTGATTGTTGCATCGACCGGGAATCGAACCCGGAGCTCCCGCGTGGCAGGCGAGAATTTTACCATTAAACCATCGATGCTGCACATATCAAACAATTCACGCACTATCACTGAGCATCTAACATTTGAAAAATAAAATGGAAAAAATAGAAAATAATTGAGTCAAGGACAAATTTTTGAGCCAAAGCACAAGAATTATCCAATTTATATTGTATTTTATTACTCTGTTCCCAGGCTGCGCAATATCGATATTTGCTACCAATCGCTGATAAAGAAGAAAAACACACTAGATAATGTGCCGACGTTTGCAATAAAAAATTTCGCTGATTAAAAATAAAATTCTGGTATAGATAATCAAAAATGTTTAAATTACCGCCAAACTTTCACAGCAATTTAGAGTTGAATAAAACAAAAAAACTCATTTTCAGTCATTTAAAAACACAGAGCCTGACAGGAACCCACGTGACCCAGTTATTTCAGAACAACAAAGATGGTTGATTCGTGTCTCTAGAACCACACGTGTTATTGCCAAAAAAAAATTAATTGTTAAAAAAAAATTTGTAATTGTCTTCAAACCCTAACTTCCAGTTTCTTGAGTACAATTTCCGAGAATCTTAATGAAAAACTGCAAAAATGGTAAGTAGAACTCAATAAAGCCCCCTAGAAATTTCCTATTGGTTAGAAAACTCGCCAAGCTTCCCTATTTTATTAAAAATATTTTTTAAACAACTTAAATGTGCAGTACATCTGGATTGTAAAAACTTATTTGATTTCTCAATGTATTATAAATTAATTCCAACATACCAATAGTCTCTGTATCATCTAATTTTTCCATGTCACTATTATTCCTGCAGCCTAAAGGAAAAACAAAGAAGTTCATCGACAAGAAAAACTCCGTGACGTTTCACCTGGTGCATCGGTCACAGCAAGATCCCCTGGCAGCTGATGAGACAGCCCCTCAACGAGTGCTAGTTCCAGTGGATGGACAGTTTTCAAAATCAGAGAAAAAATCTCAAGAGCCCCAGAAGAGAATAGAGGAGCAGCAGAAATATGGAATTTTCTTCGACGACGATTACGACTACCTCCAGCACCTGAAGGATGTCAACAAATTGCCAGTGGAGTGGTCCATGGTGGAGAACCCCAATGACAAAAATTCAGAAAGAAAGATAAAATTACCATCCTCAGTTTTTGCATCTGATGTCGAGGAGAAAGTGGGACTTTTGAACAAAGCAGCACCAATATCTGGCCCCAGACTTGAACTCGACCCTGACATTGTCGCTGCCATGGACGACGACTTCGATTACGACGACCCTGACAATCAGCTCGAGGATGATTTTCTCGAGTTAGCCAATGGACCAGTGGATGAGGTGGAGTTTGATGAAGAGGATGAGGAAGATTACGAATCAGCTGATGAATCAAACGTTTCATCAGGTCACATGGCTGTCTCTGATGAAGAGAGGGATGAAGTTAGAAGTCTCAATGGCCCTCAGTTCTCTTTCAGGGAGGAGGAGACAAAGTCCAGATTTACTGAGTACTCCATGTCGAGTTCTGTGATGAGGAGGAATCAACAGCTGACACTTCTCGATGATAAATTCGAGAGGATGTTTGCGGGTTACGATGAGGTGGAGATTGGCGCTCTCGACTGCGAGGAGATTGAAGGCCATGTTTTGCCTGATTCACAGGTTGTTATTCAGTGTGCTGAGGAGTTCGAGAAAGAGCAGAGCGAGGCCACTGACAATGTCACAAAGCTCCTGAAGAATAGGTTAAAGATACTCGAGTACAGGGATAGCTCCGAGGAAGAGGATCACCTCGAGAGACTCACTGTCGATCCCAGGGTGAAGGACAAGTGGGATTGTGAGAGTGTTCTGAGCACTTACAGCAATATTTATAATCATCCCAAGATCATTGTCGAGCCGAAGGTAATTTTTTTGCATTATAAATGAAAATCTTATTGTAAGAGAAACAAAAAATTGAGAGAAGATATGGATTGATAAATTTCAGGGGCTTGGAAAGATCAAATTGCACAGTAAAACAGGTGTTCCCAAAGACGTTCTAGACCAAAAATCCGGCAAGCTTACTGCAAAGAGTCTAGCCATGCTAGACCGAGAGTACAACCTAGCCCATGGAAAATCCGTAGCTCCAGTTTCCATGGCTGAGACCATGAAATCCACTCTGAGTGTACTGAGTAACCGACCCAAGAACGAAACTCCAGAGGATAAACGCGAGCGTAAAAAAGCGATAAAGGAATACAGAAGGGTATGACTCGCCAAGTAATTAAAATGTCCCTAAAAATCCATTAAAATTCCATCAATGAAGTGATTTAATTTCTACAGGAGAGAAGACTAGAGCGCAAGGCGAATAGCGAGGCATTCAAAGAGGAGAAGAAGAGACAGGAAAAAATTCTACTCAATAATCAACAGAATGTCCAAGGAAATCGTATCTTATAAGAGTAAACATTTATAATTAATTTATCATTCCAATTGAATTTGGATTTTTTGATTAAATGAAAATTTTGGGAAAAAAACAAAGTGTCTTCTTATTATTTTGAGAATTTTGTGTGACTGTTGATCACAAATTAAAGAGAGTGCTGGAAAAAGGGAAAGTGGCATCCAGAGAGGCAAAGAGGATTGACTAAAGTAGAGGCTCAGTTCTGGGGGTTTGAGTGACCCCAGCGGCATCGTAGTACTGCACCCCAAGAGAGGGAGGGCGCCCCACGCAATGCGCAAGTCGACGGGGTGAATTTTATTTTCTGCGGCATGAATGCTTTTTGTTTTTTTTCATTTAACTGGAATTTAGCCGCCTGTAGAACGAGTGGAAGGGGGAAGCCACATTTTGTGGAATTTTAAATGAAAAAAATTATTCAATGTATTGAATATATACCACTAATGAATTTATAATTTTAAATCAGCACGTTGTCCTAGTGGTAACGTGCTCGACTGGCACACCAGCGGCCCGGGGTTCAATCCCGGCATTATTCTTTTTTTTTTTATTTAAATAATTCCAATTTTTTTTTTTTTGTTAATGGCAAATCAATCGAAATATTGTTTAAAAACTGAATATTTGATAATCGAGGAGATATGCAATGAAATTGAACAATTTGACATTTTTAAAAACGAAAGTTTTTCAATATATATACTCCTAATGAAATTACATTATTGTAATAGCGCGTTATCCTAGCGGTAACGTGCTTGCCTACCAC